AACTGCAGTCTTTTAAATTGAAATGGCAATTCCGAAGAGATCAGAGGTATTCTAGGTATAAATACTGTCTGTCCTTTGGTCTTTCCAGAAATAAGTTCAGCTTCAATGATATTATTCGATAGCTGTTTTACGATCATTCTAGTTCCATTAGGTACAAATTTTGGGGAGTTGAGATTTCTGAGTAGTATGATTGGAGTTCCAATTTTCAGACGAAGGCAGTGTAATGGCATTCCTGGTACTTGTAAAGAGTTTAGAAATTTGACACTTTCTTCAATGGATACCATCGTGTCGATCGATTTATATATTTTCTCTTCACCAGGTATTTTCTTTAGAATATTAAAATTGATATCGTCAACAATATTATTTTTAGTGGCCAAAATTGCTCTTTGAAATAACCACTTCTTTTAATGTTTTGAGAACTAATTTGGATAACTAAAATTATGTCGCTTTAACTCCAAAATATAAGTTAGCTAATGACGTATAAATACACAAAATTTAATAAATTAAATTTAAGACTATTGAAATTGGAATTTTAAATTTCGTGTCACTACTACACATGCTACAATTGCTCGCAACGCTTTTGGAAATGCAACCCAAACAATCGTTGTCCTGAATGATGTTCAAATATTCGATAACAGATGGCGCCACTATACTTAATTTCCAAGTTGTAGGGTTGGAAAGTTCCTTATATCTTTAGAAACACGCCCTTTAGATTAAAACGGGAACTTTCTAGCTTCTGTAGCGGTAGCGTATGTAGTAAAGGCGCGAAATTTAAAACCCCTAAATTTTTAAATATTTTGAGAACTAATTTGGATAACTAAAATTATGTCGCTTTAACTCCAAAATATACGTTAAATAATGACGTATAAATACACAAAATTTAACAACTTTATTATAGTAACAAATGAAATTTAAGATTTTATTGAAATTGGAATTTTAAATTTCGCGCCACTACTACACATGCTGCAATAGCTCACAACTATGGAGACTATACACTATGACTATTGGAGTGTATAGTCTCCATAGTTGTCTTGAACGAAGTTCAAATATTCGATAACAGATGGCGTCACTGCACTTAATTTCCAAGTTGAAGGGTCGGAAAGTCCCTTATATCTTTAAAAACATGCCCTTTAGATTAAAACAGGGGAACTTTCTTGTTCGAGGGGGATAAAGGGCTATCACACCACATAAGTCCCTTTATCGTGTCGGGACTCCTTTTTAAGTTTTATCGGCACGCACATTTTATCGACTTAGTTTTATTATATTTATAGATATATAACTAGCTGACCCGGCAAACATTGTTTTGCCATGTATATTATTTCTAGGAAACATTCTACATATTAGTTTACACATCTAAATTTTAGTTCAATAAAAATAACTATCTTCTATAATACAAAATAGGGGTTTATCGTAGAGGAGTGAAAATTAGGGGTTGTATTTTTGTATGCTGTATCATAAAAAAATAAAACAAATAAAAACTAAAAAAATATTTTGAGGTGGACACCCCTTATCACTTAGGGGTATGAAAAATAGATACTAGCCGATTCTCAGACCTACTGAATATGCATATAAAATTTGATAAAAATCGGTCAAGCCGTTTCGGAGGAGTATGGTAACTAACATTGTGACACGAGAATTTTATATATAATATGTTAGCGTCCAGATAGTATTTCTTTACCCAATGTATGGAAAATGCTGTTAGGGCTGGCAAAAAATAAAGTTGTATCTTTTACGTGTTGGATACCTAATACCTACTTGATGAAAATATAAAAAAGGAGACTTAACACAAATTTACAATTTGGTGACCAATAATAGCTATTTGTCACGTTCGATAATTATTATAAAGTTAAATTTTCACATTGATTTATTGATATATCACGCATTATAATATGGTGATGGTAAAAAATAATGCAGTACCTGCTTAATAAGATCACTGTTACGTATAGCTGAATAGTAAAATTATTATTCATCACAAATAAGGAATGTAGAAAATAATATAAACACAAGAAAAAAACGCAAAGAAATCTTGAGAAATTTAGAACATAGTCAAAACTAAAAAAAAATTAAAGTATGTTTTTATCATTTATTTATTTATATTATTTTTCTATTATTTATTTATTTATTTATGTATAAGTCCTAAAACATTGCATGCTAAAATACAAAGAAATATGACGTCATAAATTTTAGACACACACATATTTAGAACAAAGAAATCACAAATTAGCAAGGAAGATAGCTATATAATAAGTTCCTACTTACCATAATTTTGTTTATGTTGAATTTATTTCACAAGAAGATTCTTGTCAAATATCAATATTTTTATTAGACATAGACATAGCTAGACATAACATTTATTACTAACAAAAACACACACACATAAACACACAAAATAACAATTACCAAAGAAAAAAATATAAAGAGAGATATCAAAAAAAAATGTTCGGTTCGTTTCAAGTGTGTAATGCGTGTGTGCTATGGTTGTAATTGGCCCTGGCTCAGCATTATGCTGAGGAGCAGAATGTTCCACAGCGCTGGTCATTCTGCCAGAGACCACATCAGCTAGTTTTCAGCGGCACAACAGCTATTAACGTTAGTAATAAAAATTTAATAGCGAGAAAGCCTATTCACAGGAGCATTAAAAATAGGCGAGCCGTAGGTACGTAAAAAGGCTTTTATTTCTAACTAAACTCCTCTAGTAACTCTATAGGATTGCAATCACCATCATCATCATCAGCCTCTTTTTTGGTCCACTTCTGGACGTAGGCCTCTTCCATCTTCCTGCCGTACGCCCTGCATTGGCCTCTCTGCATCCACTGGGAGCCATCCTCCTTGCGTCAGTCCACGTAGTCGATGGGCAAGCTTATTCTGCCGAGGTTTCGTATGTACCGGTGCCGGTGGTTTAGCTGCGCCCACGCCGCCCCCTAGTATGTTTTTGTGCGTTACGAAGTTAAGACGTGCAGTAGTAGTAAAAAGAATGATATTACATAATTAATTTTATTACTGTTACATTTAGAATACCGCTGCATCGTCACTATTATATGCTTTCCATATGAACAAAACATTTACAAAGTTGGTTTATATCAACTTTACACTGTCAAAACTTGTCAATTATAAGCGTGTAAGTTCCACAGATTTACTACGTTAATATTCTGCGACATGGTTTTGCTCTCTTCATAAAAGCTCTTGAAGTACGCTCACGCTTAATTACTTCATTTTATTATCATAATTTAGGAGCACCTATTTGGTGCCTTTAAATAGAGAAGAATAGAAATAATTTTTCAGATAGCAGTGACGTAATAATTACAAGAACAGCTGAACTTCGTATAATTTAAGATATTTGATTTTTCGAAAAATTATTTTGATTATATGCATTGTTACAGACACGAATCAACATTTTAAAATAAAGTTTTACTGAATAAAGGCTTTAATTAACAATAATTAAAATTATTGAATTCCTAAATATTCTGACCCGTCTTTCCGTTATTGGACTTACTTTAGATCCAGTAAACGGGAATTTGATTAAAGTGTTATACAGTAAAAACCGGTTATAACTATCATTGAAAGGAACGTATAGTTGACGACGTTATATCCGATAGTGTTGTCCGCAACGTCATGGGTAAAGACAGTTCATATGTATGTCCAACGCATCGATCTAAAGAATTATGACTATGGTCTGTTAATATTATAACATGTAAGCGAGTCAAAACCGAAACAAAAATATTTATTACGAAATAATTAGGTAAAAAGTAATCAGTCAATTTTTTTTTAGCCCGGTCAAAGATTTTTTGCATTTCAAGTTTCTACTCCTCAAGGATGAGTATCACCAGTATTAAACTGTTCGTTCAGGCAACAAATTTTGCAAAATCGTATACATCGTTAAGATATTTGATTTTGCTGAAATTGTTTTGAGAAAGTGCTAGGAATATTTCCCCCTGCCTTTACATTCAATGTCAATGCCCATCAACATAATTTAAAATAGTATTGTTTTGTTTTACTGGACAATAAGCGGATGGTCGGTATATCATGAATATCGATAACATTGTGTTGTAGCGATATGTCGCTGAATTCCGTGTTGTTAAGCGGTTCCTTTACCGAATCGTGTAGTAGGGATTCGGACGGGACATACAACTGTTGTAATAACCGGTAGGTCGTTGTATACGATTTCATTATAAACGGGTTTGACTGTAGTTGTATTCGTGTTTATCTAATGATCCATAACGTTCTCAAGTTTTAATATATTTTTCAGCCTAATTAAACTTAGATTAGGGTTTCACACGCTCACGTTAATATAATACAGGCGACATGGTTTTGCTTTCTTCATAAGAGCTTTGTCAAAGTTTACACAATTAACTCACTGTAGATTTCTCAGTATAATAAAATTAAACATCTATCAGATATTTATGGCAAGTATAATATAATTTTTCGTTACGAATCGAACGAAACTCCGCGTTAACTACTACGCTACAAGAGTAACGCTTATTAACTGGAGACTCTTGACATCTCATGAAAAGATACTTTTTCTGTTCGGACGGCACAGAACTCCTTATACATAAAATCTAAACCACTTTCATTTCTTTATGTACAATTGTGTTTACGCTGTGATGAAAAGAGACAGATGAGTACTTAAGTTAAACCGGTAAATTGGACCGGTTTATTATCATTAAGGGGGAAATAAAATGCGTCTGTCTAAATGCGTAAATTCTGGTAATAAGAATTAGTACACTCTTTTCTTGATTTTAACTGTCTTAATTAACGCTCAGCTATGAAATGACAGATGTCGAAGAAATAACTTAAAAGTTCAGGCTTTAAAGACAAGTTCCGATAATAAAATATAACATTATAATCTATTTCATAAAAAATTTTACTCTTTTTCCATAATTGTTAGGTTTCTGAAATAATTGTGTAATAAATACGCAGCTAAAAACTATTGATTTGAAAAAAAAATTTTAGCAAATATTTATTTATTATTAATAAATAAAATAAATAAATATGTTTGACTTCTATTTCCTGACTTCAAATTTCGCCCAACTCCCACCCTTCGCCATAATTTTGACATCTTCTGGTGCCAAAACCGGTGGGTCACTCGTCTTCGAGCACTTCACAAGCTTAAAGTTGGCTATTAGGTAATATAATAGCACTTTCAACTCCATTACAGCAAATCGGATACCTAAAACGATGATTTATGAGAACCTATTTTTATAGTAAATTTAAAATTATCGAAATCGAAATTCAAAAGTGGATTACACCTTTTTTGTATCTGTTACAATAAATGACTACATTTTGAATTTCGAACTGGCTTAAGTGACTTAGGCTTGCGTTGTTAAAAAACAAATAATAAGTTGGGGAAAAAGTTGCTTCGCATTTTTTAAGAAAATTCACAACATGTTTAATATAGGTACACTCGCGAGCAAGCAAATCGACTCAAGCGTTATCTCTGCATTCAAACATGTTTTAGGATATACAACATTTTAATAAAAATAATATGTTATTTGAAAGCTTAAAACATCAGCTTTTATGAGATGTCATCATTATTCATATCCATCCATACATTTTTTATTATTGATGTCTGAACTTAAATGGGGGAAAAATGGGATTTTGGGTAAAGGAGTTGTATTCAGAATTGACACAAATAAAACATGTTTTTTTTCTTAAGAAGTATAATTTTTATTGGTTCAGTATTTGGTATTGTCTCCTAGCCCTAATTACAGCCAGTATTCAGTTCTTCATCGACCTTATTAATTTTTTGACGGTGTCTTGAGGAATACTTTTCCACTCCTCTAACAAAGCTCCTTCAATTATTCAAGGCTCGAAGGGGCTGGATTTCTTGCTCGTACCCTTTGTTTGTGCTCATCCCATACATGCACGATGGAATTTATGTCTGAACAAAGCGCAGGCCAGTCCATAGTGCGCAATCGACTTCTCGAAGAAACTGCTGAGTAAGCCGCGTGTGTGGCATCGAGCATTGTCGTGCATAAGGATTAAGTCTTCGCCAACAAATCCTGCGTAGGGCACAACATGTTCCAAGAGAATATTTGTAATGTACCCATCAACGTCAGTCCTGCTTCTCAGCCTCCCCAGGCACGAAAACGAGCTAAGGTTGTACCCCAACGAGATACCCGCCCACATGCAAGAACCGCCGCCATAGGCAACTGGTTTTCTGCGAAGCAACGCATTGGGAAAATGGAACGCTCTCCCGGATGCCTCTAGACCCAGCCTCTTGTCACTGCCATGCCGACCATTCTAACTCGTCAGTGAACAGGACCGACCGCCATTGCCCATGGTCCAGTTAAGATGCTCTCGAGGCAAACGGCGCTAGGGGGCCTGCGCGGTGGCCTGAGTCAATTAGGGGGCCCCGTTGCAGGCCTTTTGGAGTCAGGTTGGCTTCCATCAGACGTCTTCTTACTGTCCACTCGCTGACAGCTATTCTCGAACACGTCTCAGCTGCCCTGCACGTCGACACCCATAAGGTGCTGATTTCGTAGGGAGGTTGAGACAATGAAACGGTCGTCTGGTTCAGAAGAACAACGTTGGCAACTAGTTGTTGGTCTCCGAGTGAATGTTCCAGTCTCTTGATATTGTCTGTATACTCGGGATACAGCAGACTGACTCAAGTGAAGCTGGGAAGCGACTACTCGCTGACTGAGTCCTTGTTCCAATAAGGCAACAACCTGAGCGGCTTCTTGAGGTGTGGTATCCATGGTTTCTTAAAAACAATGAGTGCAGGTTGCGGAGATATGTATCGGTCAACTGTTGGTTGGAAGGGAAACGGGGGTTTTTATAGGGGTAGAGGGTAGCGCAACTGGCAGGTAGCGTAGTGAGTAATTTGTCCCATACGCCCTATTGCGCAAATTAACATTTTGATACTTCTTTTATTTAATGGTGTTGATGTTTTTTTTAAAGCTTAGGTTTCTGTTATGTTGTATACTTTTATTTAGAATCATGTTTGAATCTAGAGGTAGCGCTTGAGTCGATTTAGTTGCTCGCGAGTGTAGTTTCCTTCCAATCCCACCACACACACAGCATCATCACCTTGTTACGACTTAACCCGGGTTTCGCCTCAGTCTGTGAAGCCTGACCGGCCTTTGACCACGACCTTTTTCGCACGTTCTTTTCGTACGTGATCCACATTTCATCACCAGTTATCAGCTTCTTCAAAATTGGTTCGGTTTCATTTCGTCGTAATAAAGAATCACAAATGAGGACACGGTTCATTAGGTTTCTTTCAACGAGCTCGTGAGGTACCCAAATATCGAGCTTTTTTGTGTACCCAGTTTTTTTCAAATGCTCCAAAACTGTTTTGTGGTCAATTCCCAGTTCTTCAGCTACTCCGTAACTACTGATATGCCGATCTTGCTCCACTTTTTCAAAAATGTTATCCATTTTATCCGTAATAGGCTTTGACATGAAAATTTCCGGATTGAAAACGCTTAAACCAAATTTGTGCTACTCTCACAGACTGCACTAGGCCCATAAACATCGCAAATTTTTTACGCGGCTTGCGTTGCATTTTTACCTTTTTTGTAGTAATATATTAAAATGTATCGAATTTCTTCATTAGATTCACTCATCTTGACGGTACGAAAAATACATAAAAATCACACATTTTCCTATTTTGAATTTGCAATTTCTTCTTCAAAATTTGAACTTTAAATGATACCAAAACGAGCCAGATACAAAGAGATTTTATTATAAATTCATACATACTATAATGCGAAAAGACTTTTTCCCCAACCTAATAGATTTTTTTTCAAATATTAACAGATAAGTCTGAACCAGGAGGTATTTGTTTTAGCATACAACAAAGGGTTATGCTAGCGATATTTCGTATCACTTCACAGCATTATCCAAATCATTCTCTATTAACTCACGGGCCCCACTGTATAAACTTAATAAGGATTGTTTTAAATGTCATATGATAAGTGAGTAGCCTTTAATACTGCAGAGAATGCTACTTGCAGATATCTAAAAATCTATTTTGCATATATACAATTAAATTGTCTAAGAACTTTTTACTTGAATACTAAAGACTTACCAATACAAATCCTAGGTCCAACACCAAATGGCATAAATGTGAATGGCTTAATATTATGTTTATTCTCATCCGAAAATCTTTCAGGGTCAAACACTTCAGGGTTCGGGAAGTAAAGCGGGTCCATATGGAGAGAGTTGATTGGAGTGTATACGATATCGTTAAGATTTAACTGAAAAAATAATATGTGATACATTAGTAGGTACGGAAAAAACAGTCACGCCACAACGTTTTTAAGGCCTGGGCCTTAGATTTCTGTCTGTTTCGTGATCATTTGTCACTCTAATAGGCAAGTAGGTGATCAGCCGCCTGTGCCTGACACACTCCGTTGACTTTTTGGGTCTAAGGCAAGCCGGTTTTCTCACGATGTTTTCCTTTACCGATGGAGCGATATTAAATGCGCACATAGAAAGAAAGTCCTTTGGTGCATAGCCGGAGCTCAAACCTACGAACTCAGGGATGACAGTCGGTCGCTGAAACCACTAGGCAAACACTGCTCGTGGGTACTACAAATTTGAATAAAACTTATTTAAATAATCTTTAAGGTTAAATAAAGTTTTATAGCAATAAATATGATATCATCCATACCTTCATGATAAATGCATTTAAATGTTGCTGAGCCACTGGGGCATGGCGTATTGAACCCTTTAACACCTATTTTTTCTACTGCAATTTTGTTACAAAATTACACGTGCAAATGGCCAGTGGTTGAAAATTTACTTTGTATTTTTTTATAGAACAGGGGGAAAACAGACAGGAGGCTCAGCTGATGTTAAGTGATACCACCGCCCATGGACACTCTCAATACTAGAAGGTTCGCGAGTGCATGGCCCGCCCTTTAAGAATTGGTACGCAATTGTATCTGAAATAAAAAGTAGCGTAGCCCTCCAAACTGCCAAATGTTTACTTAATTATTAAAAACAAAACACCAGCGCGTTCTATTTTGTCCAAGTCCACACCATACATCATATAAATTAAAATGATACAAATTTAAGTACACACATTGAATTGTTTGTAATGTGAATCAATTTAGTTACGATAGCATACCTTGCATGGTTCGCCTCCTTCACGAGGTGGTGGTAATTCATAGGGTTTCGTGCAAACTCTGTCTGCTACAATTGCTACAGACCATTTTCTTAACGCTTCTACAAAAAATATCATAAATTAAATATTAGATCACATGAATTTAATTTCAATACACTCAATTATTCTTATGTTTAACTTTTATTATTAATTTTTTTTAAATACGTATTATTACATTCCTTTTTTTGCGACTGAGGCGCAAACTAGCTGCTGTGGTCTCTGGCAGAATGACCAGCGCTGTGGAACAGTCTGTTCCTCAGCACAATGCTGAGCCAGGGCTAATAACAGCTACCGAACACACGCATTATACACTTGAAACAAATCTAAAGGGAAAAGGGATTTTTTTTTATATCTCTCATTATATTTTTATTTCTTCTTTGATTATTGTTATTATGTTTGTGTGTTTTTGTTAGTAATGAATGTGATGTCTATGTCTAATTTACTATTAAAAAGGGTTAAGTAAACAAATAAAATAGTTCAAACCATTCAATACACAATCCAAATACTTCAAATCACTTATTCGGTCGTAAACTAGTGATCCGTGTTTCTCCTGAAACTCTCTTATCTCCTGGTACAATTTCTCCTGAACTTCATTGTTTAGGGCTATCTCATGAAGCAACATGACTAAGGTTGAGGCTGAGCTTTCAAATCCAGCAGCAAAGAAAATGAATACTTGACCTGCTAACTCTGATTGAGACCAATCTGAAAATGTTTAGTTATTTACCTCCGTACCAAGTTACATCTAGATTTGATGTTCTAGTGTAATTTCTTATTGCAATTTAAACAAACTTAAAGAAATATAAAATAACTATATTTTTTAAAGAGTAAGTATGGTGTTTCTTGTTCATTCTTCTTTATATGAAAATAACTTTTGAAAGGGGCAACTAGTAATTTTTTTTAAATATTTCTAACTTGTAATGTTGACATTTAAAAGTGCCTTTTAATAGGCCTACATGAAATAAATAATTTGACTTTGAATAAAAAACTTACTTCTAGAAGCATTCGATGATTTTAGGCCATATTCTGTAGCCACATCGTCCGTGCCTTCTTTATCGGTTTTGAGCTTTCCTGAAAAAAAAATAGACGAAAAAGATCAGTAAAATGTGTATTTCAAAAATCATTACTATTTTATTAGTTAACTGTGTTTACCCTTAGATGCATCCATGAGAAGTTGAATCATATCTGGTCTCTCAATGTTGTTTTTTTCTCGATGCTCCATCGTGCCAGACACAATGTTCATAAAGAACGAAGTAGCTTCTGGAGGAAAAATACGTACGCCCAGAATCTGAAAAACGCATTGGCCTTAGCACTTTTTTCAAGATGTCGACTCTGTAATTCGAGACCAAACAACGTCTATGGTGAGAGAAGTAAGAAGTATTTGCTACCGCAGCTAATAAATAAATGGACCACCCGATCAGTTAATTAGTAGCTGAACATATAAAAAATCAAGTTAAAGAATTATTTTAATATGCGTCTGTAGTAGTGTGTAGTCCTGACTTTTGTAAAATTTTTTTTTTTTTAAAAACACTTCCTTAAAAAAACACCCAAATTAAAAAAACCTATTTTTATTTGATTTGATTTTGATTTGATTTGATTTGATTTGACTGATATTGTGACATTAATACAAACCACAGTGGTGACGTGTGTGTGTGTTCGAATTGGTGTGTGTGTACCTACAGTACACATTCACATATAATAATATATATTTGATAGAAAAAAATAATGATAAATAAAACACGTTTAACCTAATTATAAAATTGTTAATATGTTATTTTTATGGTATGTTTTGAAATACCATTAATATGTTATATTAACTAAATAAAAAATAATTATTTAAACTGTACATTAAATTTTAAAATGAAACATTTACCTTTGCCACTGCAGGAAATAGCATATTAATAATGAAAATTATTCTTCTAAAAAACGGGAAGTTGAATAATGCTTGGCCGGTCTTATAAAACTCATTATCTTTATCTTTAAGAGAATTAACCGTAAGACCAAAAGCAGTTGATGCAATGACATCATTTGTATACCGTCTGATTAAGTCGTCAACATTAATGTCCTCGTTTATGTGCTCTGAAACCAAAACCAAATTATTTATCTAAGATTTGTCTAAGATTAGATAACTAGAATTATATACAATATCCCTTTTACGTAAATTCAAATGACTTGTGCCAGCTCTTCCGTACATTGTACAACATACGTGAAGTAGCTATTAATGTGCATTCGTTTTATTAACCGAAAAAGAAAAAGAGAACTTGTCTTTGTCAATGCCTCAAGTACCTACTGCTGTGATTCTGTTCTCCCTCGTGTCATATTGGTAAATATTGAAAGGCTTATAGAACAACTTTAAATTGCACCCTGGACTAAATAGTATAATGTAAATCGAGTCAGTTATAGAACATAATATTATTTATAGTAAAACTGTTTTCTTATTAAACTTCAGAAATTCAGACTAAATTTACAATTCAGAAAATTATATAACATTTGCATGAGGTATTTGTATACAGAGCTATGCAAATTTCTACTACTACACTAGATATTTGCGTAACTACTGTGAAGTACAAGGGAGTCTTATATATTCGACATGCCATTATGCCAGACACCCTGTGTCTGTTTCCATAATTATTTTTAAACTAAGGCTTCCAGATACAATCATTGTTTTGCTAAAAACCATATGCTAGCTACACTTTCTATACACGGAGATATCCATTTAAAACTAAAACATGACTTTTTTTTTAAGTAAAACTTCTTTAGGCGCGACTAGGGAGTAACTCAGATTTTTTTTCTGACGCAAGTAACGCTTACTTGTGTAGTTAGTTAGTCTGTGTAGTTCCGCTATTTACGCCTTTAGTACACCTACGCGTTCGTGCGTTCCTTTGCGAAATAATTGCGGTAGCGAAATATCTGCGGAACGTTAGTACACTGCAGTTTTTTCGCAAGGAAATGTTATTGTAGCTTTCGTGGGCTGTAGGTACAGACGTCGTTTCAGAATGTCATCTGAGTCGTCCTAGTCGTCGCTTTCAGATTCTGAAGAGGAAGAATTGTTGTTGCTGGCGTCGGTATTAATAGAGGGGAGCCCAAGGGAGGGGATTTTCGGGATTTACTAAAGCGCGGGGCAGATCTACTACTATTAGGGGATACCTTGTACGCCGGTTAAGTACCTCCACAAAATATGAGGCCCATATATAAGGCCGCGCGTGAAGGAGACAGGATCAGATTAGTAAAAAAAATTGACCATCAGAAATTCCCGAGCCAGTCAGATTAAGGTAGGGTGAGTTAATTACATCCTAAAAAGTGTATATTCCACTAATCTGGACAATTTGAGGGGGAGTGACGGAAAAAAGGGGAGGGCAACAAAGTTGTAAAAAAACGTCATCTCGACATTCTCGAGCGTAGCTAATTTTTCTTTTATTTTGAAGGAAATAATTCCAGAATAATGAAAAATATATAATCTGACGATTTCGCGCAAGCCGAAATAACAAAAATTCGTCGATAAAGTTAAATGCGTCGCAGCTGGGCGTGGATGCCTACATTTCCTTAAACCGATCGGGAATCTACCCTAAACGGCGTTCAAAATATTTCCCTAAAATTACATTTCCTGTGAATTTGAACCGACTTCGGACCGATAGATTTTGAGAAATTTTGAAAAATCTTAAAAAAATAAGAAATTTTTTTTAAAGTAGTTTCTGTATCGATCAACTTCACTTAAAACTAATCCGCCTTAGAGCTTGAAAAACACGTCGATCGCCACCAAGCTGGTCAAAAGCGGTTGATTGTTCGAGAGATATCGTAATGAAAGAAACCCGAAAAAGTGTTTTTCGGGATTACTCGGGAAATTTGTGGTTCGATCAATTAAAATTGCTTATGAGAATGATAAAACTGCGTCGAATGCCGCCAACCGCGTGAAAATTGCTTGATCCATTCAAAAGTTATTGCGGTTTGAAAATTCCAAAAATAGTGTTCTATGAAACTTCTATCAGACTTTCGAGCTGGGAGAGTAAATGCATAGAAATGTTATTTCTTTGAACTCAGCGAGCTCAAAATATCAATTTTAAGCGCCCAGGAATGGAATTAGCGGGAAGTTGCAGTGGCCCTTTGTTGAACCTTTTTCTATTTTTTTGTCAGATCAGGCGAATCCTCCTAGATAATCGTCAGATTATGAGACAGTACGTTTAGAACATAAAGATGGAACCACATATATCTTAATCTGACGCGCTTGAGTATTTCAAAATTGCGATTTTTTTTGCAAATTATGAAAATGGCTGTGGGTTTGCGTCCCATCGAAATCGTCAGATTAGTGAATGAGAGCTTTTTTTGTGCACTTAACACTCCTTAGAAAATCTGACGCGCTCGATAAAATTATTTTTTTTTCATTTTCAACCCTTAAATACAACCACCCGCATCATGCAAACGATCAGATTAACATACGTACATTATTAAAAATAGTAGGGCATAGATGCTATCAATATCTGACGCGCTCGAGGATGTCCATGAAAGTTTTTTTTACATATTTAACTATCTATAGCCGCTTCCCCCACCGATGAAAAGGAATTTATCATATAACATTTTTTTCTTCTTTTTATCTAAGCTTTGTATCCCAATAGGTCTCTACGACGCTCGAGTAAATCCCCATTTACATGTGGCTCCTACCATAAAGAGAAAGCGTAGAATCTGGGTGCATGAAATAAATCAGAAACAAAAAAAACTCGGAGAAAATAAGGTATGCTTAGAACTTCAATCACATGAAGATCGTAGCCCAACTAAATATAATTCGGGATAATTTCGAATCAAATTCAATATTTTCGGCTTCCATTGTGCGAAATTCTGTCCTCACCGACAGAACGCGTGGTGACGCCTTGCGATGCGAAATTCCACTAGCGAAACGGCTGCGTCTGTGTAACAGCCATTTCGCAGTTACTTGCGAAACAATACCGACAAGGACGCAACTATTTCATCTAGCTATATATTAGAGCGAGACAAAACACATGCGAAACGTTGCCATACAACTTACAGTTTTTTCGTCGTTTCGCTGCCGCATGCGATTGCGTAGGTGTACTAAAGGCGTTAAAAATAATAATTCGGATTGGTCGTACGTAAATGTCAATTGTCATATACTCCACGCTTCTTGACTTATACGCCATTTAGTGGCAGATATCATAATCAATAAGGATTATTTTTCTGACGGAAATAACGCTTACTATAGTCTGTGTGGTTTCGCTATTAAAAAATAATGATTCGGATTGGTCGTAAGTATATGTCAATTATCATGTACTCGTTTTTCCAAATATTTCGTAAATATTTTAAATTGCAAAGTTTTTTGAAAATCTCTAAATATACTTATTGATTTATTACTTTTAAAATAAGTAAATTAATAATAATTGCGACATTCTATAATATTCAATAACAAGGTTATATTGACATGTGCTGATCTAACCATCGTATTTGAATAATCTTTGTAAAGCACATGAATAATAAATATAATTTAATTATAATATGATATTTATTATTTAATATTTAATAATTTCAGTGATATATGCCGTCAACGCCAAAGAAGTTTTACTTCAATCGCGCGTAAAGGTTACACGCACACACTTTTTTTTTAATTAGACTTAATTTATATTAAATTACGTGTTTGTGTATTATAGTAGTGTTTTGAGAACCCAATGCGGTTTAATATATTTAAGAAATGAAAAATATTTGATATTCCCATATAATCTTCCATACCATACAATACAAAGTGAGGTGAGTTTCAAAAATACATATTATTAAATAATAAAGTCATTCATTTCATCCCAATGAAATAACACATCGATTACCAAAGAGATTGTTTGTATACAGAATTTTATCTATATGAAAAAATGAGATTTTAATTTGTCGTTTCTTTTTGTTATTAATACATACGGTTCCTGAGTCTGCTATTTAAAATAATAACAAATATAGAAGCTATTAACCACTCACGTACATCAAATTTTTTCATGCTAATTTATTAAATGCTGTGCTAATTTGTATGGTATGTGTATATTTGGTGTATTAGTATCCTCACAGCTCGGAACTCGAATAATGTGACCCCGCTGCGTTTATAAACTTACAAAACCTGAGCATGCAAAAATGACAAACCATGACTCAAACATACCTTTGACGTATTCGATAATATTAGCGCTGATTTCATTCATAAATGGCATCATTCGTCGCATCTTGGAGCTTGTAAATGCTGGACTCAAAGTAGTTCGCATATCGCGCCATCTGTCACCTGTAATTATGTACATAGTTAAGACGCTAAAGTGTGATATGTCACAATTATTTTTAGTTAGACAATTTCTTACTACAGCTGCAGCACCAGCTAACAAAGCTCTTGAAAATTAGGTTACCTCATAATCATAAGATTAAGCCTTCACAGTTAACTCAGTTAACTTCACAATTAATAACAACTTAACTAATTAATTTAAAAACAATAATAAATATCGGCGTGGCTACACACCGGCTTACTTATTTAAGGATTTTTTTTTATATTTTTTTATTTTATTTTTATTCCATATCATTATTCTATATTATTTTATATTCAAACAGATACTATGGTTCTACTAGGTATTGGTAGTTGTATAATCTTAATATATATAAATTATATTCAAATTTGCACACTGTGTGTAGTTTGATCCAACTTAAAAGATAGGATAGCTTACATCTCAATTTATACCCGCATAATAATATATATATATATATATATATATTATTATTTGATAGTCACAATTCTAACAGATGGCGCTATGTTGAAAGTACCAACGTTTCACATAAGCTACAATTTAATGGCATAATCACCAAAAAAGAATGGTGGATTAGTGTTCTCCTGCCGTTTCTCTTAAATAGTTTACTACTATGTAATACAACAAAAACCTTAGCCACAGCAACGCTTGGCCGGTCTGCTACTTATTATATATATTACACACGCATTTTAAAAATTAGTAACATGATAATCTAATTCTTGATTCTCCTACTCATAAAACTGAATTATATTTCTACTTTACGCTAATTATCGTGCCTTGGTACTCTTTACCTCTTGAAATCAGACGCTCAGTCTTTAAATTAATTTAAGAAATTAAATTATTTTATAACTCTAGTGCTAGACGTAATTTTATTTTTTGGTACTTTAATTATGCACTTTTTGTACCCTTAGCAGGTATTTCGTTTTTTAATTTGCTTTTTTAACTTTTACTTATAAAACAAGCTACAAAGATGCAAGGAGCGAAAAAGGCATCTAATAGCCACTTCTTCCTTGCGTATTTATCCTTCTGTGTAATAATATTGATAAGCTCATCCAAAACACAGACACCACGTTGAATTAAAGAAACAAAAATATGAGTTTCTTCGATTTTCTTTTCTTTGGAGTAGGGACTTTTGGGTCGTGTGGTTCAAGTGCACAGGCGCTAATAAAAGATTTAAGTTGGCGCCTGGTAGATAGTACCGGTGACCCCAGAGCTGGTGCTTTCCTCGCTCAACGAATAAGTAATTAAGTATGGCAATACAGCGAGGAAATGCTGCCAGCGTTAAAGGTACACTGTGGCAGTGTGCCAAACTTTTTAAATTTGTTTTAATTTAATATTTTTATTCTTAAATTATTTTCAATATTCTTAACCTTATGTAGGTTATATACTTGAGTGATCTACGACAAACAGATTACAAGTATTAATCAAGGTATTAAAATGTAAACAGCGTTGGCGCAATATCGTGTTCAGAATATTTAAATATATCTACATTATTTTTAAATAACGATACGCTTGTTGCACTTTAAATTAAAAATATAGTAGGTTATTATTAGACATATTTATTGACGTTGTTATTGCTCTTTTGACATTTGATAAAAGACGACGCAATAACCTGTAATCTACGCCAGCAGTTTTTAGCATTGAGTTCCTGATATAGATATAACAAATTATTGTATTTACACTAATAAATAAAATGTACAAAATAAAGTATAGCAAACATGCGTAGAAACCTAAAATAGGTATATCATTTTATATTAATACATAATATCTTAGTGGCGATTAATATTTGGTGGTCTAACCCGGAGGTACCTGGTTTGTTTATAGACGAAACTATAATTATTTCGGCTATAGGGTACAGGGGACTGAGCCGTTACTCAGTAACTTCTATAAGCGATAGCGACTCCCAACAGTTTTTGTACTGCGTGCCAAGGTTGCAACGTCGGCGCTACGGATATTTTGATAACAACATCGAGATATAAAAACGTCGGTTATTGCTACTATTAGAAGTTACGGGCCCTGATGTTAAAACAAAAGTCAAAAATCATTGATTTATATATGTAACACAATGTATACTTAAAAACGTCAAAAAAGAAATATTTAAATGCTTCTAATTTACATTTACTGCCAGTTCTCAAATAAAAGGCGTAGAACGGAAGAGAAGAACTGGCAATAATCCCTACGCCACTCTTTTTAATCGCCAAGGTTTTTTGGTTTTACGTAACGTTTGTAACGAACTGCAACTATTACACCATGTTCCACGTGACATCTTAAGTAATAAATAATAATAAAATAAATTAAAAACAAAGATTTGTCCTCTATCAGCAAGAGGCATGGTGAAATAGGAGCACGCACTTACATTTTCGTGAGAACAACACGCAAATACATAGTCGAAATCACCGCATACACGAATTCAAGTAGAACCAGACACCACAAGTAGCAAGTTCACAAATATGACGCATGGCCAGCCATCGGCCCCCTGGCCATATTTTAGGGAAAGAGAACAAATAACGAAACACGCAAATGTCCTACTGCTCATAAAAGGGAGAGAGACAGAATACGGCTAATAGCCTTTACGCCATAATATTTCAAAATAAGTTGTATATATATATATACGCAAAATACCTTTCATGCTGAATATACTGTCTCCCATTAGAGGCTCAACTTCCGCGGGTATAAAGTCTCTGTGATCCACGAAATGCTCAAAATCTTTCACCGTCACAGCCTTTATGATCTCCGGGTCACGAATCATGATTATCCTGGTTTTTCCTTCTATGTAACCGACATATCTAGAAAATAATTCAACCGGAAGTCAGCGGGATGCCTTCCCATCGGTGTCTTGAATCATTGGTAATTGATGGTTATAATTGAAATATTTAGTTGTTCGAATTGTATTTTTTATTTATTAAACAGCCATTGAAGTTAAGGTGAAGATATATAGTGCTATTTAAGTCTTCACTAGAGCAGGTGCTTTTCTCGCTCAACGAATAAGTATCGCAATACAGCGAGGAAATGCTGCCAGCATTAAAGGTACACTGCCACAGGGATCAAACTTTTGAAATTTGTTTTAGTTTTCTATTTATTAATGTTTAATTATTATTGTTATTATATTTTATTTATGTATTGGAGTTATTATATTTGTGTATTGGAAAAAAATGCTTACACTTTTAGCAAGCAATAATAATTAATTATAAAATAATTAATAATTCTATAATTTTGTCAGAAGCTAAAACAACTGTTAATTTAGGTATTCCATTGTCTGGTTTATTAACTAAACTATAAAAAGTCACAGGTCGCATCGAAATTGAAACGACCTTCGTCGGACAACTTGCCTTGATTGTTTTAAATTTAATAAGACACAAATTATGTTTTTTATACTTGCTGACGATAGAATAATATAATGTCGAAAGAAGCTTATAATAATTTCATCTAATAAAATATCGTTATAGGTTACATATCCAATACCCTGTATTTTTGGAGTGTATAAACCGCACTATCATATTGAAGAAATTTCATACTTCAGCGTTCAAAGATTTTGCCGAATATGTATATTTATTAAGCAGACTTGACATTTTATTTCATAGTTAAAACAAAACATTTTGCGAATCATACTCAAATGTGGTTTAATTAAACCGCAAAAATTGTAAATTTAACGCTTAAAAAAAACTTAAACATTAGCCAAAACTCGCATACAAATAAACGCCTTAAAAATAATCTTACCTCTCATCAGGATATGCTCTATACACAGCATCTAAATCCTCAACCATATGCGTCTTTTTAAATGAACTCTGGATTGTATTGCCAAAGACTGGCCATCCGGGCACATATTTAATTCCTCGGGCATCGAAGTAGTTATGTATTTGCTTGTAGTTGTAGTACAGGTAGGTTAGTACCGCTGTCACGAAGAAAATACCAGCTTCAATGAGCATCGCTGTTGAGCTTCGAATCAACTGTGATTGAAGTGGTCAATTGTAGTGTTGAGGTAATGTGAGGACAAGTTTGAAGAGATCGCGATTTATATGAAGTTTCATTTAAGCTTAATCCGAAAAACTACAAAATATATGAAACATGATAATTTTTTGGTTAGGATGAATATAAACGGAACTTGCATTGTTCGACATGTTTTTTTTCTTGAAGTCGACCATAAATATTATTTATAAAAGTCAAAATTATTAAGTAAATCAACATGCCTCTTTTATTTACTAAATATCACTTTATACCATACACTATAATATGTAAAGTATTACTTTATTCTATATAGAATACATTGTTATTAGTAACTAATGCTTTGTATTTTAAATTGCTATCGCTTTTAAATTAAACATTGAGTTACATTATTATCAAACCAGATAACAGTCGGGAATCTACTTATTATCATTATTAACATACAACATCATCACTGTCATTTTGGGGTATATAATTATGTATCTTTCGATTTACTATTTAACTAAAGAATTAATAAAATATCTTTTGAGTTTGCCCCACAGCGACCATATAACATCTTACACTTTGATCGTGGATTAACGTGGAGGCACCACATCAAATTTAAAAAACAGGAACTACAGCTTAAGTACAACAGCCTATACTGGATGCTTGGAAGAAACTCGAAACTTTATAAAGTCTTTAAAAAGTCCTTATAAAAAGTCATCCTAAAGCCCATTTGGACATATGGCTATGGTCTCTCCAACAATGCTCCAACTGTGGAGCAGCGCAAGTGATACCAACATAAATATACTCCAGCGACAACAGATCACGATCCTAAGAGCAATTGCAAAAGTACCTCGGTACATAACCAACGACGAAGTTCACGAACACCTTCAAATGAAAACAATCAAAGAGGAAATCCGGAGACTGGCAGCTAAATATAAAGAGTGGTTAATCTGTCACCCGAACAAACTTGCTCACCAAGTCACCATAGAATAGTATGTGAGACGAATAACGTCACCATATTCTAGGGCTATACCGGCAGTAGCTTTAGGCAGTAGATGTGTAGATGCTTCCAATGGAAAACCACTCCACATGTCAGCATCACAGCACAGATTCGCTCATAGCCTTAGGGCTGATTTCAAATACACGCAGAAGAAAAAATGATTGAATTATCTTTTAGATTAATGATCATTGGTCGTTGCCTGAGTCATGGCTACAAACAATACAAAAAAAACTAATATAGAAAAAGTATAAATAAAACAGATGAATATTATCTACTTTCTTTTCGTTGGATTTCACATATTATCATGCATACGAATCACTTAACGATAAAATTATTACTATGAATAGTGTTTAATATAATAATATTTCGAGAACAACACTTAAAATAAACGTCTTTAAAGCAAATTTATTACCTATTTACATCGCTCCGCATGTTTTACGGCAAGCATTGTGGAGAAAAAAACAGTCTTTTTTTTTTTATAGAACGGGGGGCAAACGGGCAGGAGGCTCACCTGATGTTAAGTGACACCGCCGCCCATGGACGCTCTCAATGCCAGAGGGCTCGCGAGTGCGTTGCCGGCCTTTTAAGAATTGGTACGCTCTTTTCTTGAAGGACCCTAAGTCGAATTGGTTCGGAAATACTTCAGTGGGCAGCTGATTCCACATAGTGGTGGTACGCGGCAAAAACTGCCTTGAAAAAAGCTCAGTTGTGGAACGGCGGACGTCGAGGTGATACGGGTGGAATTTCGTATTCTGTCTCGACGTCCGATGATGAAACTCAGCTGCAGGTATTAATCCAAACAACTCCTCTGAACACTCTCCATGGTAAATGCGGTAGAAGATGCAGAGTGACCCCACATCTCTACGCAACCGCCAAAGGATCAAGCCGCTCGGAGAGGGATTGGTCGTCGACGATTCGAACCGCTCTGCGTTGTATACGGTCTAGTGGAAGGAGCTGGTACTGGGGAGCCCCCGCCCAGAGGTGAGAGCAGTACTCCATGTGGGGCCGAATTTGCGCTTTATATAGTTGTATGCGGTGGCCCGGAGTGAAGTACCGCTTCGCCTTGCTGAGCACACCAAGCTTTTTAGAGGCTAATTTAGCCTTTTCCTCCAAGTGACCGCGAAACTGAACGTCGTTCGATATGTCAACGCCAAGTATTCCAATGCTGGCTGTGGCTTTAAGAAGAGTGTTTTCGAAAAGAGGAGTAGCGACAAAGGGTGTTTTTTTAGCGGAAAACGCGCAAACTTGTGTCTTCTTGGGGTTAAATTGGACTAGGTTTTGTCTGCCCCAGACTGAGACTCCACGTAGTAGAGTTTCGACTTCAGACACAAGTTTGTTCCGGTACTCATCAACAACTGCCCGAGAAATACCTGCCCGGCCAGTGTAAAAAGTATCCCCAGTGCTGTCATCCGCATAGCAATGAATGTTGCTAAGTTGCAACATATCATTGATATGCAAAAGAAATTGGGTCGGGGATAGAACACAGCCTTGTGGGACCCCAGCGTTCACAGGTTTAAGGTCGGAACATGCTCCGTCGATGACGACCTTGATGCTCCGATCGGCCAGAAAGCTGGAGATCCAATCGCATAATTTCTCGGGAAGCCCATAGGCTGGAAGCTTCGAGAGCAGTGCTCTGTGCCACACCCGATCGAAGGCTTTCGCTATGTCCAAACTTACCGCCAGCGCCTCCCCCTTGGACTCAATTGCCTCTGCCCACCTATGGGTAAGGTATACAAGGAGGTCACCAGCTGAGCGACCACGACGAAAGCCGTACTGAGAATCGCTAATCAACTGGTGGCCCTCTAGATACCACAAGAGCTGGCAATTAATAATGGTTTCCATTATTTTGGAGAACAAGGAGGTTATAGCTATTGGGCGATAGTTGGACGGATCAGAGCGATCGCCTTTTTTAGGGATCGGATGTATCGAAGCGGTCTTCCAGCACTTCGGGACAGTGCCGAGCGAGTACAGGTACCGGAAAAGGCGCGTTAAGACCGGAGCCAACTCAGGAGCACAAGTACGCAGCACAATTGGGGGGATACCATCCAGCCCGCTCGACTTATGAATGTCCAAGGAAGATAGTGCTTTGCGGACAGCACGTTGCCGGAATGTGATTTCCGGCATCGAAGAATCACACCGCGAAATGGTCGGTGGTGATCTTCCTTGGTCATCCAAAGTCGAGTTGGACGCGAAGAGACAGCCCAAAAGGTCAGCCTTCTCCTTCGCAGTGTGGGCCAGAGAGTCATCCTCCCTTTGCAGTGGCGGAATGGCGGGCTGACAAAAATTCCATTGGACAGCTTTGGTGAGAGACCAGAAGGCTCGAGTCCCTGAAGGGAGCTGGACCAATCTCTCGCCAAATCTGGCAATGTGCTCTGACTTTGCCTTAGTGATTTCCTGTTTGAAGGACCTGGAGGCTGAGTTATATGCTGTTTTAAGTTCGCTGGCATCACGAGATTTCGCCGCTTCCGCCCATGCCTTAAAGCATTCTCGCTTTCGACGCGAGGCCGCCTTGCAATAACGTTTAAACCAGGGCTGAGACTTGCCACCGATCGGCACCGCAGAAAATGGAATAAAGAGTTCCATGCCCTGCAGAACCACTTCGGCGACAGAGGCGGCGACGGAACTGGAGCTTCCGGCGAAAAGCACATAGGCCTCCAAGGGTAGGACGCAAAGAAAGACCGCATCCCGTCCCAATCTGCTGACTTATAGTGCCAAATACGGCGACAACCCATAAAGCGGGGCCGTGAAGGGCGCGTAGATGGCACAGTACTCCGGACCACACAATGATCCGATGAACCCAATGGCGGGTCAACAGAGACTTGATAGTTCTCCAGATGTGAAGTCAGCAGAAGGTCCAACAAAGAGGGTTTATGACCATCCACATCTGGTATTCGCGTAATCGCAGGGACCATTTGTGTCAGGTCGTAGGCTAAAGCAAAGTCGTGAAAGGATCTTCCCGCGTGATCGGTGGTTTCAGAGCCGAGTCAATCGGCATGGTGGGCGTTAAAATCGCCAAGTATCACGATTTCAGCGGTAGGAACCCTTTCGAGCAGGGAATCTGTAGCCATTTGGATGTGCTCAATGAGTCGGTCAGTTTTGGTATTTCCGCTATGGGACCTATACAGGCATGCGTAGAATCGCGGATGGTCATCGCAGTCTACGCGCAGCCAGAGGTTAGATAGGTCCCTTCCTTCAAGCGTCCCGAGGCGACGAGAACAGATATCCTCTCTGACGTACACGCAAACTCCCGCCCGCGGCACAAATGAATGTTCCAATTTGTACCCCGGGTAGGAGAGGTAGGAAGTATCAGCCGGGGAGGAAATCTGAGTCTCGGTAAGAAAGAGCAAGGCCGGCTTCGCAGTCTCTAAATGGTAGTGGACTGCGTTGATATTGGAATTGAGCCCCCTAACATTTGTGAAGTCCATGGCGAGCGTGGACGGGGGTGCCTTTGTTGAATTGCTCCGTTTGCCCCGAGAACGATGACTGTCTTAAAGAAATCTATTGTTAAACTGAAATTTTCTGAATAAATCTGCTAGTATTGTGTATTAAATTAGCCAGCGCTTAGAAGTATTTGAGATGTGGTGCAATGGTCACAGTACATAATTGATCGGTTGTGTTATGAAATTTTAAATGATAGAAAATTTTAAACCACTTCGCTTGTAACAAAGCTTTATACTTGTAATGTAATTAAATTAAAATATTATTCCTATTACTGAAAAGAGATAACTAGGGATAGGAAGGTAGTACACAATGCGCTTTTAATAGTAGTTCGCTCCAATGATTTTATAAATGAGTTCCGAAATATAAATGTTTATATAATAGTTGCAGTTTCATTCAAGCATCTTTAGAGCTTTGGCCTAGTGGCTTCAGGCCTGAAGCCATTTAGCCATCTCTGACGTCGTAGGCTCGATCCCTGGCTGTGCACCTATGGACTTTCTTTTTATGTGCTCATTCAACATTCGCTCGAACAGTGAAGGAAAACATCGTGAGGAAACCGGC